CCTCACCTTCACCTTCCCCCCCCCACCTACACTCCTGGCACGCTGCTTCGACACCTCCCCCACCCCCACTCCCCCGGACATCTCACCAACCCCCACTCCTCCCCCCACCTCATCACCTCCACCCCCAGCACACAGCCCCCCCTGCTCCAACTTGGCCTTCACTACCTGTCAGGTGAGAGATCAGCTGAGGAGGATAAAGACGAGCAAGGCTGCGGGTCCAGATGGCATCAGCTCCGGGCTCCTGAAGTCCTGCGCAGATCAACTGTGCAGGATAGTTGAAACCATCTTCAACCTGAGCCTGAGGCTGGGGAGAGTACCATAGCAGTGGAAGACATCCAGCGTGCTACTTGTGCCCAAGACTCTGCACCCCAAGGACTTCAGCAGCTTCAGACCGGTGGCATTAACATTGCACCTCATGAAGACTCTGGAGCGCCTGGTCCTGTCTCGTCTCCGCCTTGCAGTGGGCCCTTCAATGGACCCGCTGCAGTTTGCCTACCAGCCTGGCATTGGGGTGGACGACGCCGTCATCTTCCTCCTGCATAGAGCTCTTTCTCACCTGGAGAAGCCCGGAAGCTCTGTGAGAATCATGTTCTCTGATTTCTCCAGCGCTTTCAACACCATACAGCCTGCACTTCTGAGGGACAAACTGGAGTACACAGGGGTGGCTAATCACCTCACATCCTGGATCCTGGACTACCTCATGGACCGACCGCAGTATGTCAGGATCCAGGATTGTGTATCGGACTTGGTTGTCTGCAGTACGGGGGCCCCGCAGGAGACAGTGCTGGCACCGTTCCTCTTCACCCTCTACACTGCAGACTTTTCATACGACACCCCCACCTGTCATCTGCAGAAGTTCTCTGATGACTCTGCCATCATCGGCCTCATCACAGATGGGGATAACAGGGAGTACAGAGAACTGAACCAGGACTTTGTTGACTGGTGCCTGAGGAACCACCTTCAGATCAACGCGGGGAAAACCAAAGAGCTGGTGGTGGATTTCCACGGGCAGAGACTCCTCCCCCCAACACAGGTGAACATCCAGGGAAAGGACATTGAGATGGTGACATCTTATCAGTACGAGGGGGGTTCATCTTAACAATAAACTGGACTGGACTAACCACATAACAGCACTATACAGGAAAGGCCACAGTAGACTCTACCTGCTGAGGCGGCTCAGGTCTTTTGGAGTGCAGGGGGCGCTCCTGAAGACCTTCTTTGACACTGTGGTGGCATCAGCCATCTTTTACGGAGTGGTCTGCTGGGGCAGCAGCATCTCGGCTGCAGATAGGAAGAGTCTGGACAAGCTGATCAAGAAGGCCAGTTCTGTCATGGGATGCTGTCTGGACTCTGTGCAGGTGGTGGGAGAAAGGAGGATGAGAGCCAAGCTGTCATCTCTGAGGACTAATGACTCCCATCCTCTGCAGGAGGAGATAAAAGCTCTGGAGAGCTCCTTCAGCGATAGACTGATTCACCCAAAGTGTGTGAAGAAACGCTATCGCAGGTCCTTCCTGCCTGCTGCTGTCAGGCTACATAACCAGCACTGCTCACAGTCACCATGGACACTTTAGGGACACTATGGACACTTTATGGACACCATAATAAGCATAACTGTCCCCCACGTTGTTGTTGTTTATTTGCACATACAATATTCACTTTGCACTAAATATGTTCACTTTAATCCATTGCTCACTTTTTATTCAGTGCTCATGTAGCAGGAGGCGATTTTCCTCCCTGCCACTACTGGGCACTGTGCCAGCTTCTAGCCATCGTGATGATTGGGTGGCGCCACACGCACCTTTATATCTAGGCGTGTGGTCGCGCCCGTTGTTTCTTCCGCTCGCTCCCGTGGTGGCTGTGTCTTGGCGTGGCAACATTTTGTTTGGCGTGGCACTGGCAGCCGTTTTTGTTCACCAGACGGTGCTTTATTTAATGTGAAGGCTCCTTGGTGTGGTGTGCGCCCTGTGTTTGGTTCGCCATCAAAGCACACCATCTCCTCTCTCAGGTAAGCGCCCTGCCACCTTTCCTTTTGTGTACGTGTGCGTAATGCGCACCTTGGTGACCCGATCTCCACTCCTTGCAGTGTGGCTGACTGTTGGGGGGCCGGGGAGGACGGGGTGACGCGCTGGAGCCCCGCTGTGTGTCGCTATTTGCCCGCTCTGGTACGTCAGTCCACGCATTGTCTGCGCTTTTGTTTCATCTGTCTCTCAGCGCTCAGCTGATTCATATCTGTGCGTAATTCTCAGGCTGTGCACTCGAGCTGTGTCCTGGGGCTCATATCCTCCGGTTGCCTAGAGTTTGTTGCGCCTGGTATGTATTTATTTGAGATTTTTGTCAAAAGATTATTTTAAGTTATATAATTAATTTACTAAATATCAGGTTTTCTTGTTTTTGCAGCGTTGTTCTGCAATTGCTTGGCCTGCCATTGACCATCACTCCCTGGGCCACGCTGCTGCTCTGGCTCTCTGGCTCTCTCGTTCTGGCTTTCTTTCCTTTTGATTTAATTATTATTTTGATTTAGTTGCTTTGGAATTGGTTTATTTTACATTTTCATTTTTGACTTGTTTGGGCTCTTTCAGCTCCCTTTATTTTTGGTTCTTTACTTTTAGTTTGGTTGTTATTTTGGATTTTGTAATTTTGTTTTGTTTGTTTTGTTCTGTTTTGGCCGTTCGGCGGCGAGCGGGCTAAGTTTGCTGTCCGGAGCGGCTGACTGCTGCCCGGCCCACTCTGTCTTAGAGGTCTAACTGTTTTACAAGCTGTTCTAGGACCGACATTGGTCGCCATTGCCTAGTGACCATGAGCCAAATATTTTAAGTCTGTATTTCGCCTGTTTTCTTTGTTATCTATAATTTAGTTTAGTAGACTTACTTTTGTACTTTGGTTTCATTTGTTGTATTGAAGTTATGTTGTCCTGTGCTTATTTTCCGTTAGTTCATTGAATTAGTTGATTATGTGTATTTAAATTATGTAAATGTTTATTTAGTTTACCCCAGTTTTGTTAAGTTCTTGGACATGTTTTATTAACAACAGTAACACTGGAATTTCAATTGTGGGATCAATAAAGGTGTATCTTATCTTATCTTATCTTATCTTATGGTTTTCTGGTTATGGAATGATTTAACTGTACTTTTGTGTACAGTTGCATCTGTTGTTTCACAGATTACATCCACCACAGATTCTGTGAATTCATAGGTGTCATCGGAATTCATAGGTGTCTTGGAATGTTCTCCAGACTCTGTTTGGCTCCATCTCTTGCGTCATTGGGGGTATGCACCTGTTTGGATTCACGGGACAACAGATGATTTGTCATTCGTTAAAATCTAAACTGGACATGTGAAGGCATTTCTTCTCTGCATGCTCTTTGTTCTTCAGACAAAGACAGCTATTTCTCACCTCAGTGAGACCAGTCGTCAAACTTGATTGGACAGGACTTTTACAGTGACACGTGACTCTGTGATGTCACTAGGCAACTGTAAAAGGTCTGCTCCCTTCAGACAGTCTTCCTCTTGCTCCTGAGTTGCCAAGCAGCTCACACCTCTTGCTTCTGAGCTGTCGACCAGCTCACACCACCTCTGGATCCTGGGCCTTTGGCAGGCCCAGACAGACCTCTCTTCCTCCTGGGCTCTGACCAAGTCAGAGGCCATTGCCCCAAACCACTAAAGGGAGGGCAATTGCTCACAGACTCTTTCTCCTGGACCACGACTTACCCACGCTCAAGGCAGAGGCAAACCTGAACCAGAGAAGTTGGAAGGGCAAACACAAGTTTGCAACTAACTTTCCAGCAACAAGGAGAACAAAGTTGAGTTAGCACCCCAACGTCTAACTCTGCACAGACCCTGAGCGACCAGCTTCCTCGGATCTTCGGAGCAAGGACACAACAAAGACTGCATCTGGAACCACAGCTCTCTCCAGCCTTCCTCTGCCAGCTAACAAAAGCAGCAGACCACCAAGCGACTCTGTCTTCCATCCATTTAAGGACTGGTAATGTAACAACTGGGTATAGCTTTATCACAGCTGCACAGGCTAAGCAAGACTGTTTTAACTTGTTGACTGTGATTTAATGCTGTTAGTGAGTTATTGTTGTGATTGTTTGCAGTTAGTTGGTTAGTTGGTTTCACCAAAGCTATGTGATGTTAGTTCGCTAATGCTGTTCACAGACAATGTCTTGCATGTAACTAAACATCCTCTGCATTGATCCAGACCCATGCAACACATATCACAATCACATTAGACATTAGTCATTAGACTCATTTACAAATAGGCTTTCAACCGAGCTACACCCAAAGAGGCAACTCAAAGTTCCCCCTTCTCTTCCTTTGTCTTTGGGGGGGGGGGGGGGGGGGGGGGGGGGGGGGGGGGGGGGGGGGGGGGGGGGGGGGGGGGTGGTGGTGGTGGTGGTGGTGGTGGTGCACAAGCGGACAGACAGGACGCTCTGCCAATTATTGCATTCAGTCCGAATGCAATGATTGGTCGGAGTTTTCTTAGAACCATATGAGAATGAATGGTACAATTATGAGTTTTTATCTGGTGAAATTCATTTACATTTTAGTGTGCTATCAGCTCATTAATAGCATTTTAACCTAAACAAAGAAAAGCGTAAAATTTCCAGAAAGGTAAGTGTCGCTTTAAGTCACATTATTTAACATAATTCATAATTATTAATTATGTCTGATAGCCAATTTGATACTTTAATTGGAGATCTATTACAAGGTCAGGCTGAATGTGAGGGAATAGCCACTCAATAACGGTGCTGAAACTGGAAATGGATCAGATTCTCTTTCTGTCCTTCTCTCTCTCTCTCCAAGATCTGAGTCACTCAGTATAAGAACACACACTTGACCTCCATTCCAAATTGTAGCCTTCTCTGGCAAAATGCGCTGTAGAGCTGCTGGTTGTAGCTAAGAATGAACTAAACAGGACTTTACTTCTCCATGACAGTGGTGCAATAGTAAAAGCACAAAGGCAGAGACAAAGACATTGAACATGTCACACATACTCACCGATCTTTGAGATCATCGAGGCAGCGCTGGAGATGAACCTCACCAGCAGTGACCAGAACATGTTCTCCTGTTTCCTGGATCAGAACTTCAGCACAGGGATCTGCCTGGTTTAACAAACGCATCCCACGCACTAGCTTTGGCATCTCACCTGGCACACAAACATATGAGATGGAAACCAGTTTATTGATGTCTGTACTAGCAGTTTATTAGTCATGACTAAGGTACTTGGAATTCAGTAATGGTACCCAATGGTCCTTTACTCTCAAACTAAAACCCATGCCTACAACCTGCAGCCTGTCAGTCTATCAGACGGGCATAGCATGAGAATGCCTTTGTGTATCTCGAAAGAAGCAGAGTTAGCTGCTGTAAAGTAGTAGGGGAAATATTGTTAAAATGTGACATTGTCTGAAAATTTGCATTCTGAAACAATTTACTGAATTATGCTAATGCTGTAGCTCCCAGCTTGATACAATGCTATAAACATTAAAGAGGACATGAAACAATAAATATAGTTATCATAATTTAAAGAGGGTCTCTCACCCTAAAAAGATAATTTTAGTTTAAACACTGAAAATGAAAGGAATCTCAAAATCCTGTCACTTAAGTTCAGCTGTCAAAACAAAGGGCGGCGCCACGTCTGTTGTGTCGCCGGACGTGACGTCAGCGGAGTGGCTGTCAAGCTAGCGATCGCAGTGAAGTGAAGACAGTGGAGCATTTCTGAACCGGGCTGAGCGCCACACTTGACAATGGAGGAAGACGAACTGGAGAGGCCTGTTGAGTCTGTGACAAGCCCCATTGCCTACGCATATGAGCCTATAAGGCGTGGGAATCGAGCAATGGTACGGGAGAAAGAAGTGGTTGAGCCGGTGATTTGGGGTCAAGGGCATGTCGGCAACATTATGTGGTGTAATTGTACGCTGATGCCCACTGTGCCAGAGTCCATTTGCTGCCAGGAGGCTGGTCTGGACCATCTTCTCCATGACCACCCCTGCATCACCATGGTGCGCTCATTCAGCATCCTGTGCCGGGAGGTGGACGTGCTGGAGGTAGCGATGCTTTCGCTGAGGGATGTCAGAGCTGAGACGCTGCAGCGTCGTGTCAACAGCAGGTAAGTCAAGCTAGCTGTAACCACGGGCGAATGACTCTAACCGTATGCAGTAAAGAAAACAAATGCATGGTCTACGGTGTTGGCCAGGAATATGATAACATACAAGGCGAACAATGTTTCCATGTGCTGTTTGTTTACATACAGTTGCTGTCTGACCGAAATGTCTTTGTTTATGTCGTTTCTCCGGTACTAACTGCTAGCTAACCCTTAGCGTTAGCTAGTTGACGCTAACAGCTATTAGCTATCAATGCTGGTACCTAACGTTAGTTTGCCGGTTCACATAGCTGACTATGTTACATATTGCTACTGGTGAATGAGCCAGTTAGATGCGGAACATGTCTGAGAGGCCTGACATAACAATATAATACCACATGAATGCTTTCTATACGTAGTTTGTTTACACTGTGTTGTGCAGCACGTTATGAAACCAACATTTGGGAAACCGCTGTCAAAACACTGTGACACAGACAGTTTGATGTCAGACATTCAGACGGGTTCATCCTCAATAACTTTTGAGTGAGATTAGCAATACACAGATGACGTACAGTACAGGCCAAAAGTTTGGACACACCTTCTCATTCAATGCGTTTTCTTTATTTTCATGACTATTTACATTGTAGATTCTCACTGAAGGCATCAAAACTATGAATGAACACATGTGGAGTTATGTACTTAACAAAAAAAGGTGAAATAACTGAAAACATGTTTTATATTCTAGTTTCTTCAAAATAGCCACCCTTTGCTCTGATTACTGCTTTGCACACTCTTGGCATTCTCTCCATGAGCTTCAAGAGGTAGTCACCTGAAATGGTTTTCCAACAGTCTTGAAGGAGTTCCCAGAGGTGTTTAGCACTTGTTGGCCCCTTTGCCTTCACTCTGCGGTCCAGCTCACCCCAAACCATCTCGATTGGGTTCAGGTCCGGTGACTGTGGAGGCCAGGTCATCTGCCGCAGCACTCCATCACTCTCCTTCTTGGTCAAATAGCCCTTACACAGCCTGGAGGTGTGTTTGGGGTCATTGTCCTGTTGAAAAATAAATGATCGTCCAACTAAACGCAAACCGGATGGGATGGCATGTCGCTGCAGGATGCTGTGGTAGCCATGCTGGTTCAGTGTGCCTTCAATTTTGAATAAATCCCCAACAGTGTCACCAGCAAAACACCCCCACACCATCACACCTCCTCCTCCATGCTTCACAGTGGGAACCAGGCATGTGGAATCCATCCGTTCACCTTTTCTGCGTCTCACAAAGACACGGCGGTTGGAACCAAAGATCTCAAATTTGGACTCATCAGACCAAAGCACAGATTTCCACTGGTCTAATGTCCATTCCTTGTGTTTCTTGGCCCAAACAAATCTCTTCTGCTTGTTGCCTCTCCTTAGCAGTGGTTTCCTAGCAGCTATTTGACCATGAAGGCCTGATTGGCGCAGTCTCCTCTTAACAGTTGTTCTAGAGATGGGTCTGCTGCTAGAACTCTGTGTGGCATTCATCTGGTCTCTGATCTGAGCTGCTGTTAACTTGCGATTTCTGAGGCTGGTGACTCGGATGAACTTATCCTCAGAAGCAGAGGTGACTCTTGGTCTTCCTTTCCTGGGTCGGTCCTCATGTGTGCCAGTTTCGTTGTAGCGCTTGATGGTTTTTGCGACTCCACTTGGGGACACATTTAAAGTTTTTGCAATTTTCCGGACTGACTGACCTTCATTTCTTAAAGTAATGATGGCCACTCGTTTTTCTTTAGTTAGCTGATTGGTTCTTGCCATAATATGAATTTTAACAGTTGTCCAATAGGGCTGTCGGCTGTGTATTAACCTGACTTCTGCACAACACAACTGATGGTCCCAACCCCATTGATAAAGCAAGAAATTCCACTAATTAACCCTGATAAGGCACACCTGTGAAGTGGAAACCATTTCAGGTGACTACCTCTTGAAGCTCATGGAGAGAATGCCAAGAGTGTGCAAAGCAGTAATCAGAGCAAAGGGTGGCTATTTTGAAGAAACTAGAATATAAAACATGTTTTCAGTTATTTCACCTTTTTTTGTTAAGTACATAACTCCACATGTGCTCAATCATAGTTTTGATGCCTTCAGTGAGAATCTACAATGTAAATAGTCATGAAAATAAAGAAAACGCATTGAATGAGAAGGTGTGTCCAAACTTTTGGCCTGCACTGTATATTCTGGAATCTGAAAGGAATGATTCAATATTTTGTACTTTGTAGGTGATATAGAATAATACATAGAAGTGGATATGAAGCAAGGCTCAAGTTAACATTAATTACCAAATGGATTTCCACTCTCACACTCTAACAAGTGGACACATATAAAAGAAAAAAGACGCCCTGATGTATCTTTCCTGACAACAAACAACTTGTTTATGAGCTTAAAAAATGAGACTGCATGAATAGCAGATAGTTCTGGAAAGGAAATGTATGGAAACACAACTAACACTATGAAAAAAGATAACTTCTGCACACTTACTCCAAGCCACAAAAGTATAATAATGACAACGTTTTATCCTACTTGGATCTTCGTCAGGTCACAATGTTCAAAAATGGAAAACATACCTATATTTATATATCATGCACACCAACTGGCTGATAAGCTCTATGATAGCAGGTGTGGTTATCCATCCAAACTGCCCAGGGTGATAAACATCCAAAAACAATTAACAATTCAATAAAGTATATAGAAAAAGCAGTAATACAACAGCCATACTTAAAAATATCAAACATACATCTTATATCATCTTTCTTAATTTCCCTGAGGGAGTCTTCCCAAGGGATTAATAAAGTTCTATCTAATCTAATCTAATCTAATCTTATATTTTATATCAGAGTCATCATCCCGTCTATCAGAATGTATATCACCTATGTTCAAATATTGTTTACTAAATCTAACCAATACATTTCTTTTCCATCAGTCTCTTTAGGTTGACTGCCTACAGGCAGTTTACCCTCTGGGCCAGGGGCCATTTGGGAAGGAAGAACCGGGTCCCGATTCCAGCCTGTGTGGTCGGCTCCATCAGGGCAGTTCTCCCCTCCCCGGAGTACTATGGATTTGAATATGCAGACATGTATGATGAATTTTAAGTTTTTTGTTCAGTGTTTGCAATTAAATATGTATATAATGTATAATATATTAAATATTTACTGTTTAAATTTAATGAAGTGGTTGATGTGCATTTAAATGCTATTTAGTAGTAGTTATGTTGCTCTAATACATGTTTAAAAGTTCATCATCAAACAAATAATTATTTATTTTATTATTATTATTATTATCACTTTTATCCTCATCACTGATGCTTTCCTCACAACTCAACTCAAACTCATCATCACAGGAATTATCTTGACTCTCTTCCATTGAGCTTTCTTCCTCAGACTCTTCACAACCCTCACTGATAAGGTCAAGATCTTGCGGAGATGATGTAGCCCTAGCTGGGGAGAGGCCTTCCACAGATGTACAGTATGAGTGGTCATTGTTTATGACCTGGTTGGTAAGTATGTCATCTGTCAAAGTGCCTGTGAAAATGTACTGCTTATTGTCTCCCTCTTCTGTATCCTGTTGAAATGGATCGGTCTGGGTGCGGACACTGACTGTCAGGGTGTGCACACTGCCTGTCACCTGCTCCTCACTGATGTCAGCCTCTGGGAATCTGCTGCTGGCCACCAGTTGCATGCATGCCTGCCTAACCTGTTAACACAAATGTACTCTTTTTAGGTACCCAAATGATGTTATCAGCCTTAACATGAAAGACTTTGTACTTACATCCTGACTACTGATTTATTAAAGAATCGTATACCTAAACACTTTTTGTTGTGTTGTTATTCTTTCAATAACCATGTATAGAAAACTATCCAATGTATCCTCTGTTTTGTTTCAGTGATGGTTGGGTGTAATTGGTTTTGGTTCAATGTCCATACCAGTTCTGGCTGTAGTGCTTGTTGAATCAATAAAATTATTTGGTGTTTTATTATCATCAGATTAATGTGTGTAAACACTAGGGATGTTTGCTTTGCTTCTGAGGGACGTTAAACAAAA